GGATTTTGCAGCGCTGGCTTCTCTCTATAAAAACGTCTGTTAGGGAAATGTGTTCCCTCCAGTGAATACCTGGGTTACAAATCTTTTCCAAAAATGCATAATGTTTGGGAAAACTACAAGGGGGAAGAGGAGGAGGAAGAAGAGGAGGAGGAGGAGGAAGAGGAGGAGGAGGAAAAGCGACTCCAGCGTCCTTGATGCCTGGTAGTTTTCTTCCAGACATTTCATGACCCAACTAGGTAACATCATCAGTGCTAGAAAGGTTTGCAGAGAGCAGGAGGAGGAGAACGTCCCTCTTTTCCATCTACAAAGCCAGCTGCAGAGAAGCTCCATAAGGCTTGGAAAAATTTAGGCACCCTAGGAAACCTTTTCTGCCAACAATGAGAGCTGGAAAGTGCGGCATTCCTTACCAACGCCCAACAAAACTAGCCCCGATGCAGCTATCTAACGCGCTTCTCTGTGCACCCCGACACACCTGCGTGTCCTGCTCGACTTCACCTGGCAACTGAACCTGAGGACGATCGGATCATTCCTGTCCTCCTTTTAAGGGTCGCTTGGCGGCAGGCGTAGGAGCGGGGGAGTGGGGTTCAGTGCCCCCCCCCGAGACGCGCTGCTGCAAACGGGGCCTGGGGGAGAAGCAGCCAACGTGTCAGCGAGGCCGCAGATGGTGAGTGGGACGGGCGGTGGACCACGGTGCCACCAGGGGGGCTGCGTTTAAAAAACCATGATGAGCAGAGGAAGAAACACAGGGGCTCCAAGTAAGAAAATAACTCACAACATCACAGAGCCCTGCGGGTGTGTTTGTGTGTTTGTGTGTGGAGCCTTGTGTTGTTAACCTTTGCACAACAGCACAAGCACTTGGGTTAACCATTGTGGGTCGAGGAACTTTCAACTTACCGGTACTCGTCCACTTACGACAGCTACAAAAAAGGTTGTAAAATAAGGTCGGCCCTGTGGGTGACGCGTTTTAGATCCATCATGATGTACAATGTACAAGGAGTCCTCAACTTACAACAGTTGATTTAGTGACCGTTCAAAGTTACAACCATACTTTAAAAAGTGACTTAGGACCATTTTCCACACTGATGACCATTCCAGCTTCAAACAAACCAAGGCCCCTGGTGGAATGTCTGGTGTGATTCCATTCAATGGCGGTTTACTTAGCGAAGTGTGCTTAAGCACATCACAGCTTTATGCGCACCAATTGAGCCGACTTAGGCTGCCTCGGCTATTTGCTCTGGAGGAACCAGGCATTTCGCAAATAATTCCCACTCTCTTCCCCCCCCCCCCAATCCCCCCCCCCCACCCCGGTTTCATAACTATTTCACCGTAAAATGCTGACCTGATTTAACATGTCCTACTTGGGCAGGGCAGGGGAGGGAATTGCTTATGAAAATATATGAATATAGTTCAGGCTTCGCTTCATTTGAGTGAGAAAAATCAGCTCAGAGAGAGCAGTTGTGAATAATTAACCTGTGTGTCTTTGTTTTGCGTGTGTGTGTCGAAGCTCCAACTGTGCAAGGAACATGCCTAAGAGACCCCACTTTGCAAGACAACACACTGACCTGTTTTTAACTCAGCTGGGTAACGTCCTGGCTCCTCTCTGTGGCTTTCTCAAGAATTGCACACTGGCTGAAACTGGAGCAGAACACGCTAGGGTTAGGAGTGGGCACAGCAACAGGCCAGGTCTCCCCAAAGGTCTTTTAATCGGTCAGAGAGAGAGAGAGAGAGAGAGAGAGAGAGAGAGAGAGAGAGAGAGAGCATGGGGAAGGAGAAGAGAGAAAGAAAGAATCAAGAGCTTAGAAACAGCAGCTCAGCCCAGGTGAAAAGAGAAACCTTTCACCCACCTTAAGAACTCACTATAAGCAGAATAACAGAGCTGGAAGGGACCTTGGAGGTCTTCTAGTCTACCCCCTGTTCAAGCAGACCCTATGTCATTCTGGACAACTGGTGGTCCAGTCACTTCTTAACTTCCTCATCGACCCGTTGCCTGTTGTCAAAACTAAGCGAAAGAAAACACTTTCCTTGGATGAGATTCTAAAAATGGTTGCTTTCTCTGGAAGGTTTTGCTAATAAACAGGGAGATCCACATGCCACAGGTCAGTAACTGCGTGCGCGTGCACACACCCACCCACCCACACACACACACACACCTCAAGGCAGTTAAAAAAAGGCATTAAGAAATTCTTTTTTGCAGTTGCTTTTCAAAGTTTCTATTTTATTTATTTAGAAAATGTTTATGGCTGCCCAACTCAGGGCTTATGGAAACAAAATTCCAAAGCAAACCCCTATAAACTCTCAATTAATGAATAAGGCTGTTAGACGTTGGCCAAGAAGGGAGAGGGAGAAGGGGGGGCAGAATTTTGGGGAACTCCTCAAAATAAGGGCCCCCTGAAGTTGCCTTTGGACTTTTGCATGTTGGCCTGTGACTGCACTAAACGCTGGATTGGATCGGATCGGATCCAGGGCTTCCAGCCTGGATCTCACCAAGGGCCACAATCCCCTTTCCCACCCGATTTGGGAGATGATGGGGATCGACCTTGAGCCTTCTTTATTTGGGAAACGTCCCAAATCCTCTGTGGATTTTTGAATCGGTCCCTGAACTGGGAACTTTCTGCCTCTGAGGTCGCAAGAGTTGTGCAGAAGACTGGTCTGTGAGGAACGATGCAATCTGATCTCCTAACTCCTGTTTTCCTTCCCCCCAAGTTCCCATCGCCCAACAGAGATGCCCTTGTTTCCATGACAACCGGCAAGTGCAATCGGTGCTGAAGAAGTTAATCCAAGTTGTTTCTGTTTTTTCAGGTGTGGCTGAGCTGTGGGGATCAGGCTCTGAGAAGCTACACGTCCGACGTGGCTCCTTTGGCACTTGAGGCAGCCTTTGGTTTCAAATTTGGACCAAGGATCTCGATTCCATTTCCACCCTGTACCTCAAGGCCTTCCTCGCATAGCACCATCAAGACCTTCTGAAACCAGGGAGGAAGATTTGCGCGTTCAGAGTGTGCAAAATTCTCTCCAGGAATTCCCAATCTCATTCCGAAGTTCACTCTTGAAATCCAGCATCCCTAGGCTGACGATGGCTGGACCAGGCCACCCCGTTGCCTTTGGAAGGCCACCTCTAGGAGCCCCGGAGGATGCTCTTGGCCCATCGAGGTGCCTCGTTGGACGCATTTTAGGGGCTTTTACCCGAGCAGACCCCTCTCTTACTGCAGCAGAGCTGGGCAGAACTGAGACAGCAAAGGAAAAATCTGGATTTAGTTCTTTCCTTGGGAACTGCTGCGAGTCTGGGTGAAAAGCAAGTGGAACAAAGCCGAGACTTTGTAGAAAAGACGGGACAGCCATTTGATTGGGCAGGAGGGGGTTGGAGTAGAAGACCTCGGGGGTCCCTTCCAGCCCTGCCTTCCCATGGAACCCTTTGCCTAGCAGCCGCCCTCAGGACAGGCAAGCCCGGGGTTGGGGAGCTGCGGTTGCTATGACAACGGAGCAGCCAGCCCAGCTTTGGCCGAGGCTGCAGGACCCCGAGGTCGCTTCTTCCTTTCTCTTTCCCCGGGGGGGGGGGAGGCTCCCGCGGTCTCCGTGGCCGGCTTCCCTGCCCGTAGCAACCCAGAGCCCGGCTGCCCCCTGGCCTTCCAAGCAGGAGGCCCCCCGGAGGACAAAAGCGGCGCTTCCCAAGGAAAGGTGGAAACCATCCGGTGGAGGCGGTGGGTGAAGGCAGGCCCTGCCCAAAAGGGACCCCCTTTGTCCTCCCAACACGGAGGTCCTTAGAATAGAATCACAGAGTTGGAAGGGACCTGGGAGGTCAACTAGTCCAACCCCCTGGTCAAGCAGGAGACCCCAGCCTAGACCGTTCCAGACAAGTGGCTGCTCACTCTCTTCTCACCGTGATGGAGCAACCTTGGAGGGGAGCAGTTCCCCTGGGTTTTTTCCCTTACTTCCAGGTTGTTTCTCTCTGGATTAGTTTCCGTCTGTTGCTGCTTCTCCCGCCTTTGGGGGCTCTGGAGACGGGAACCCCTCCCGTCTCTGTGGCAGCCGCTCAGATATTGGAAGAGGCTATCATGTGCGCCCCCCTTTCCTTGGTCTTTCACTGGAGGGCTGGATGAGCCTGCAGGGTGCAGCCACGATGCACTGGACACGAGCCAGAGGCACGTCCCCCTCCGTCCGGCGGCGTCCACAAAGGACGCGTTGAGAGGCCTTTTGTAGCCTGGCCCTCTCGGTGCATGAATAATAGGCGGCTTCTCTGCGCATCGCTGGGGAAATGAGAAGGGAGCTTTAGGTCCTTTCAGGATGCAGTTTGGGAGGAGGAGAGCAGCCATCAGACGCTCAGCGATCCACGTCTTTCAAGCGAGCTGCTGGAAAAGCCATTCATGAATAATGATGGCGTCCTCAAGACCAGCTTCCTTGGAATGCTTAATGGCTGGTTGGGATGCAGAACAAGAAGAGTGGGAAGGGACCTTGGAGGTCTTCTAGTCCAACCCCCTGTTCTGGCAGGAAACACTATCCCATTTCAGACAAAGGGTTGTCCAATGTCTTCTTGAAAGCCTCCAGGGATGGAGAATTCACAACTTCTGTTCCACGGGTTAATTGTTCTCACTGTCAGGAAATTTCTCCTAACTTCTAGGTTGCTTCTCTCCTTGATGAGTTTCCATCTGAAAAGGAGGACCGGGGGGGGGGGGGGGGGGGGGGCAGGATAGCAGCCTTCCAGTATTTGAGGGGCTGCCCCAAAGAAGAGGGAGTCAAGCTATTCTCCAAAGCCCCAGAAGGCAAGACAAGAAGCAGCGGGTGGAAAACAATCGAGGAGAGGACCAACCTAGAACTAAGGAAAAATATCCGGACAGGTTCACTTAACGTCCATATGGTTCACTTAACAACTGCAGTGGTTCACTTACCATCCATGGCAAAAATGACACAGCTGCCAGTGCAGCTCCCGGCAGTCCAGGCAAGGCGAAACAGAGGCGGGGATTATACGAGAAACACGATCAGAAACCACCAATGAAGTCATCATAATTTATTACCCATTGCAGAAACACTCTTGTGCAAGATACACAAAACTTGTAGGAAAAGACCAAACCATCTTTGAGGACATCATTGCAAAATGCAGCCCAAGAGAAGGATAAACAGATGGCAAGCAAGGCAGCCCTTTTGAATTCTATGTGTGTCATGCAGTTGTTTTCAAAATGGTCAGAATCAGTACAAAGGAGAACTAAACCCAAAAGTAAGGCTGGCATTGAGAGAAAATTCTTTATGTGCAGATCAACCAGTTCGGTAAAAAAAAGTCCTTAGAGAGGCAAGAATTCCTTAAGTACAAAAAAGCAACTTCGCATTAGACACAAAACCCCTACAGAGGAAACAGAGAAGTAAATATTTTGCATTTTGGAAAAAAATATTTGGCACTCTCCTGACAGGATTACAGTTTGTGTATGCACACGTTTTATTTGTTTATTTCATTGCACGGTAACAAAGAGAAAAAGCAAATATTGATTCGACACAAGCTTTCGTTTGCTAGGGAACATTTTTAAAAAAGCATGCAAGTACTTTTAAAAAACATGTCTTCCATTTACCATATAAAATTACATTTCTCTATTTGCACCTGAGTGACTGAGCATTGCCCCAAATGTCAAACACTAGAATTATAAGCCAATTTTGGGGAAATAAGGATAACCTTACTCCTGGTTCAAACTTTCTCTTTAAAAAGTTCCTTACATTCCAGAGACTTCAAAAAGTAAGCAGAATCACATACAGTGTGTGTTGGTTTGTGTGTTGTGATTATAAACTATCCTTTTGTCCCTCTTTTACCTTCGCAAAATCCAAGAAAAAAAAAATATATATATATAAAGTATAGACCATGTTACGTGCAAACTGATGGAATATTTTTTGCAAGGTGTCATCATGTAAACCCAGAACTCCGAGACCCTCTCTGCCCACCACCCCAATTATTTCTCTTTTCAGAAGACTTTTTAAAAGTCCAACTTGAAAAACTGTACTTCCTGGAGGAATAAAAGGCTCCAGTTCAGCCTTTCCGCAGCTCCTTAAAAGGCATCTCCAGTTGGATCCCAATGTGGCACTGAAGAAGTCCAAAAATCGCCATCGCTTTCTGCCTCTTTCGCCCCCAAAAAGTTCATCCTTTCTTCATTTTTTTTAAAAAATGAATGATTTTGTCCGTTCTCATGTTGAAAGGTGAATTATTTTTGTTCCCCTCATTTTTTTTACTTATTGTCTCTGGACGAGACATGAATATATATATATAGATATATATATATATTTAGACACCCCCCGGAGGGGGCTTTTCTGAAATGCTTTTCAGTACGTCATCAATTCGATCATCCTCAATGACAACTGGAGGCAGGAGAAAAAAAAGGAAAGGAAGATGAGTAAACACCTCAACTGTTTTCTTTCTTTGGTGGTGGTGTTCTTTCAGGTGGCCTTTGCTTTGCAACCGCCGTGCTTAACTATGGACGTAATTTGAGGGCTATCCGGGGTTCACTGCTCAGGCTAAGCAAGAAAGCAGACGGGTTGGTTCACACAATTTGTGAAGACGGAGTTGGGAGACCCAACTACCCACCCCGCAGGAGCTGGCCTGATGGGTTGTGGGAGTCCAGCTTAAGGGGGGTTTCTCTATAAGCCACTTTTCTCTCTGTAGTACACAAGGGGATGAGATGCATGCGTTGCACACACATAGATACACCTGGTACACAACACAATCCTGTTATTCAAGAAACATCGGTTTGTGTACAAAACCAGGTAAGTTTGGTGCTATTTTGAGAAGCAGATGATAGCACGGTCAAGAATTTGATAAGATTCCTTTCAGATTCTTAAACAGGCATCTTCAAGATTAACAAAAATGAAGAACATACAAACACACACACACACACACACACACACACACACACAGACAACAAGCAGGATCACAAGACCGACTCAGTGGCACCAGAAGAGTTTTCTGAAACTAGAACAAGAAGGATGTTTGTGTAGCCCCCCAATTAAAGGCTGGCTCTGCATAAATGGATGGAACAAAGACTAGACACACACTTATGGGAGTATACACACACTTTTGTTGTTGTTTGCTAACACAAAATTCTGTCTCAAAGGCTGCAGCTGTTTTTGATCCTTGGGGTCAATGCTGGGTTGACCCAGACTCCTCCCCATTGGTTTCTCTCCGGGCTCACCAGACAGCCACAAATGGAGGACACAACCAGATAAACAGCAGCCCAAACACCCTTGTGTTGTTGTGTCCCTCCCCTAACACACCGGCCTCCAAAGTTTGTGACCGCCCTTGCCCCGTCTTGGGAAGGGCGGAGTAGCTCTGCTCCATCTTGGCTTGGACCCATCTGCCCGCCCTTGGAGACTGTCCGCCAGAGGTCCTCCTTGGATCCCTTCCTCCTCCAGAGGGCTTAGGGTGGGCAACGAGTCCTAGGGGGAGCGCCATATGCCCACCCCCAGGGGCAGCACCCCTTTCCCCAACCTTCCTTCCCACCCGCCCTTCCGAAGGGCTGCCCGTGGACCCCTTCGTCAAGGGAGGGGGGCGAATAAAGCGGGCGCTTTATTCCCCCCCCCACGACTCAACCCCCACCCACCCAGGAGAGTCCCGCTTCCGACTGGAAACTCGACCTGTGCAGACCCCAAACGCCCTCATCCCCAGGCCGGAGGAAGAGGAGGAGGAGGAGGAGGGGATGATGGGCTTTGCGCCCTCAGGCTGCGTTGGGCGGTGTGTGTGTGTGTGTGTGTGTGTGTGTGTGCAAGACCCCCCCCCGCCCTGCTGGCAAGGTTGCAGAGGGGCTCTCCGTGGGGCCCGTCTCCCCCTCCCCTCCCCGCCCCTCTTACCGCACTTGCTGCGTCCGATCTGGGCCAGTTTGGGGGGCCGCTTGCCGGCGCCCCCGAAGCCGCTGGTGTCCTGCAGGCGGCAGGCGAAGCCCAGCGGCTGCCCCTCGCCCGCCTCCCCGCGGGGACTCAGCTGCACCTCCGACATCGCGGCGGCGGCTGCCCGGGCCGAGCGGAGCGCAGATGCCGCCGCCGCCGCCGCCGGCAGAAGCAGCGCTCCTCGCTCAGCGACGGTTTGCGGAGGGGAAGGAGGGCGGCAGCCGCCCGGACTGAGCCTCCCTCGCCCTCCGCTCAGTCGCCCGGGAGGCGCTTCCCACGCGTGGGCCGAGCGGAGGAGGAGCGGGCCGAGCCGTGCCTCCCCCGCGCCTTCCCCAGATCCCGGGCGAGAGCGAGCGAGCGAGCGAAGGACCGGAGGAGGATGGACGCCCCGAGCAGGCTTGGCTGCCGGTCCCGGCCGCCCACAAGCCCAACCAGGCAGGCAGGCAGGCAGGCAGGCAGACTGACGGAGGGGAAAAGACACGCGGGGGGGGGGGGAGCGCAGCCCCCTCCTGCCTGGCTTCCCCAGGGGGCTTTTGCCGGGTTTGCGCACCGCGCCTGCCCTGGGACCCCGGGTGGGGGGGGGCCGGCCACAAAGTGAACGGAGGCCCCCATTTCCTCTGTGAATGGCTGCGGTTGTTCTGTGAGCCACACTGCCGTTAAGTGAATCCGGCTTCCCCTCCCCTTGACTTTGCTTGTCAGAGGGTCACTGAAGGGGAGGACGTGACTCCAGGATGCTGCGGCCGTCCTGAATACGGGTCCTTTGCAAGACCACGCAAGACTTCTCTGATGGAAGAGAAAGGAGACCCTGGGGGGGCTGGAGCAGGGAGACCCTCCGCGAGGGGGGGGGGGGGGGACCTCTGGAGGCCAAGCAGTTTCCCTCTCGGGGAATCCCCCCTTCCTTCCAGGAGTCGCTTCTTGTCCTGCCTTCTGGGGCTCTGGAGAATAGGTGGGACCCCACCTGTCTCCCTTGGGGCAGCCCCTCAAACATCGGGAGAGGCTATCCTGCCAGCCCTGGTCCCTCTCTCCTTTTAAGCCAGGCACCCCAATTCTTGGGTGTGGATCCTGACTGATCAGCTGGGAGCAACCAAATGCCACTTTAACGACAGCCGGTTCGTGTCCATTCAAAGGGACAATGAGGGTATTCGCGGCCTCTCAGCCGGCTGCAGCCCCAAGGCTTGGTGTGCGGGAGGCCCTGGGACCACCACTGGCACCGTGCAGGTGCACCAAGGGAATTCTGTTTACTTGGCAACAGGTGCCATGCGGTGGGTGAGGCGGGGCGGAGGACTTAAACCGGCTGGCCAGCGTTGCTTTGCTTTGCTCTGCACCGAGAGAAACTGGCAGACGGAGACCACAAGACGCGGCTGCCCCCTAACGGTCTCCAGAGGAGGCGAGAGGCGGCCTTCCAATCAATGCCGAGTTCCCCCCAAAGCAGAGAATCTCAGTCGCCACCTCCGTTCTTACGCCTGCGGCAACCTGCTCACTCGGGAACGGCAACCAAATTAAGAGCTTTTAGTTACGTGAAAAGGGTTAAATATTGAGGAGGCGGGAGAGGCACATTCACAGCGTTTAACCGAATTTATTTTCCTTCTTCTCTCTCTCAGGATGCCCACTGTGTGTGCGCACGCCTCTGCGTGTGATTGTGTGCTTGGGCCATCCAAGCCAGGTATGGAGGCCGTTTGGAAGAGATTCCCTTCTGGGGTTTGAAACTTCAAGGCGGCTTTGCCCGACTAGCCAGTCATTTTCAACACAGCCATGGTTTTCTCCTCCTTAAATACCAAAAAGAATTCCCTCCATCTCTTTCCTGACACATGTAAAGTTCTTTGGAGGCCCAAATAGCCAAAGTTGCCCCTGAAGCGAGGGCAGGGCGACCCCGTTGTACTCGGGGACCTGAGTAGGCAGGGAAATGAGACTAAAAAATAATATTCAGGGCCAAAGACACTGAGCCCTAATAAATAAAAAAACGGGTGACCTCCACACAGCTCCAGAAACGTGATCCTGGGAATTCTCCAACAGGCAACATCTAAAGATGATTTATTCACACGCACAAAGAGAGGAGAAGGAGAACTTTCATTCTGGCATTTTCACCAGAGCCACAGCCGGCAGTTCGATTCCAGACTGAGTGTGGGAACAACATCGCTTGGCTTTGTCCATCTGTGCAAAGAGCTACAGCTCAGCCCCATCCCCACCCACGAAACCCACTCCCCGTTTTACACAGCAATGTTCAAGCCAGTTCCTAAAGCAGCCTAAGGGTGGGGGGGGGGGGAGCGTGCACCGCCCCTCAGCTGTTGTACAAAGGCACCACCCTGGTGATCAGCTGCCTGCAGATGGGGCAGCGGGGGGGCCTGGGCAGGGCCTCGTAACACTTGAGGCAGGAGCAGACGTGCCCGCACTCGAGGAAGACGCAGGCCCGGCTGTTGCCCAAGCAGACCACGCAGGCGTTGGTGGCGTCCCCTCCGGCGGTGAGGCCCTCCAGCATCTGACGCAGCTGCCGCTTCTCCCGCTGACACCGGTACTGTTTGTGCAGGATGAAGATGAGGAGGGCGCAGCTGGCCAGCCCACAGAGGGTGGTCAGGATCTTCCAGAACCGGACGCTCGACTCCTGCCGCTTGAGCAGTGTGTCGAACCCCAGGCTGCTCAGGCAGTAGCGCAGGCCCTGCTTGGGGGGCTGCAGCTTGATGGTGCCGCTGTCCAGGACAAGTTCACCGACCCCGGTGAGGGCCGCCCCGACGGTCAGCATCTCTTCGGTCTCCTTGATGCCCTTGGGTCGCTCTCCGCTGATGTAGTGGCCGATGGCATCTGTCAAGGACTGCACCGAGGGGTGAAATCTCTCGTAGACGGTCTCAAGGCTCAGCTCGGCAGCAGTGAGGGGCTTCAGGACCCTCACGGCCACGCTGGGGGGAACCTCGCTCCCCGGGGGCACCAGATCGAAAGGGACCGTGTTTGTCCTCTGGTGGATGATCTTTTCATAGTTGTTCCTGGGGAAATTTCATCCAGAATGAAAAATACCACCGTTGCACAATTTGTAGAGTTTCTCCCTTCTCTCCTTTTATATCGTATCCCATTACGAACATGCAGTGGAAAACTGAGAGACTTTAATGTGAGTTCTTGATAAACAGTCTCTAGAAATTGTTGCTGCTGGACCACACCTCCCATCTTCTCTGAATGCCTGGACTGGTGGCTTAAAGTAGGGATGTCATGCAAAGTGGGGCCAGCACCCCTGATCTGCACTGAGCCAGCCTCGAGGAAGCTGCATGGTTTCCCAGCCTGGATCCTAAGTTGCAGATCTAAACACCACCCTCCGTGAAGGAAAGGAAAATGCGAGGAACAAGGCTGCTTGACCCAGAAGCCAGGCAGCTTTTTAAAAGTGACAGACTTTAGTGTGGCAGAGACCTGAAATCTACTTCATTAGTTATAGCAAGACATCATGACACCGATAATCATAATTCAGAATGCAGCCGAACACCAATTAATGTGAAAAACAGTGAAACATATATTAAATTCATAATAGGGAACTGATAAAAAGAGAAACACTGAGATATTTCAATGCTTATCTTAGGCCAAAACACTTCAAATTTAAGCAAGTAGCTGAACTTTTTGATCATTTCCATGTACGTGAAGAAACTGAGTATTTTTATAGTTCTTATGACCATAAATAAATTAACCTCTGAGAAATCATGAAATGTTCCTACAGCACCTGGAAATAACATCTGTGAACCCCCAAAACTTTATCTCAGAAATAAAACAATGGCCTTTCTCAAAATCTTGGTGTTCTCATGTGATAGCTTACAAAACTCCAGGCTACAGTAACACACTGGCATTCTGGTCCTCATTTGCCCGTTATCAAGTTCGTTTCCAAAATGAGGCACTTACCAGAAGTGGGTGGTCCGGTTCCACACCATCTTGTGCTCCTGAAGGGTCAGCCTCTGGACCACTCCCTTGCAGCTGTCCACAAACTGGCTGTTGAGGCTTTCCTTGACGGATCGCACCACACCTGATCAGGCAGGAGAGACCGGGCAGTGGTCAGTGACCGGAAGGAGGGAGACACCCAGTGTGCAGAAGTGGCTAACGGATGGACCAGAGGCCAGTTGTTTAGAGCAATCTAACAGCCCTCCGGATGGATGGAGCAGCTTCCAGGGATATTGAGGGGATCTTCCAAAAGTTGAACCCCCCCCCCCCCCCCAATCTGGAGAAGAGCACTCAGGAGGGCGAATGGCCAGCAACCTCCCCAATGGTCAAGCATCTGTACACCCATTTGGTGAATGCTTAGAGAATGCTTAAGGGACCCCTTATGAACGATGGCACAGATGTACTCTGAAGGTGGAAATACACAATTACGGCTACACAATTACCCCACAGGAAAGGTATACCTTCTATCACCGCATAGGGGACGCATTTCCCTGGGGCTTCTATCAGCAGGTTCCTTAAATCCTGATCCAGGGTGACTTTTTTAGCACCCTGGGGGAAGGAAGGAGAAAAACAGACTTCACAATAGCATCCTCTGAATCACAACAGAGATAGAGATCTCATTTTAAACAGTTCCTGTAGCTGCTCTGAAAAGTTGGAATCAAGCCAATAGGGCAGATGCTACAGAAACAAGCACAGGGGCCGCTTTGAGCCAGGATCCAAATGGCTGCTCACCTTCAGGCTGTCTGCAATTTTTGACTTATGTCTGTAGACGGCATAGAGGATTGCAGTAACGGCCGAACTGGTTGCCAGAAGGATAATTTCACGCGTCGAAGTGTGACTGGCGGAGTCCATGGTTGTTCCTGTAATAGGAAAAGAGAGAGAAGCACCAGTTCTACTTTCCTTGGTCTTCAAATTGTCCATACACTTACAGCCACTCGTTTACTGACCACTCGAAGTTACAACAGCAGTGCAAAACTTAGGACCGTTTTTCCACTTACAACCGTTGCAACATCGCCATGCTGACATGATTAAAATTTAGATGCAACTGGTTCACATTTATGAGGGTCCCGCGGTCACTGGATCCCCTTTTGAGATCTTCAGATCGGGAAAATCAATGCAGAAGCAGGATTCACTTAACAACCATATTAGGAGCCTAACGACTGTAGTGACTCAGTTAATAATGGTGGCAAGAAAGGGGGCAAAACTCACTTAATAATTGAGATTGTCGAGGCCTACCTGTATATTCCCTCGTCTTTATCTTTCTTAAGTCAGTAGGGAGGGCGCAACCACAACACACAAGCAACCCCACAACTATCGCAAACTGGGTGGCTTTGGGACAGTCGCCTCATTCTCTGTCCAGCCCACCTCACAGGGTTGTTGAGGGGAAAACGGGAGGAGGAAGGCTTTTGGGGGTGCCCGGAAGGGAACTGGCCCGCTCCTGGGGCAGGGAGTTTCGCGGGCGGACGCCCAAGAGGTCCCGCGACCTCCCCGCCTGCCAGAAACTTTCGGGGAAGAGGCCCAACGGCCCGCTGAGGGAGCCCCCACCCCTCGTTTCCATAGCAACCGGCGGGAAGGCCGACTACCTGCGTCAGGACGTTCCGGCAAGGCACTTCCGGGAAGGAGTGGCGCTTGATGACGCCAAAAGGCCGCGCGGAAGAGCTTTTGCCATAGAGAAGGTAAACACGGGGCTAGAAGAACCAGGAAGTGAGACTCTGATGTCAGATATGGTCACTGCGGCATATAGACATTGGAAAAGTATAGAGGAAACTATGTTGTCTTCGAAGAAGCTTCTTTCAAACCCATTTTGGCAGCCTATTTGGCCTACCTTGCAATGCTGTTGTAACTTTTCGTTTTTCTGAGGTTTTTCATGGGAACATAGGGGCCTGGAGCTAACCAACAAGGGCTTTGTCTTCCTTCTTTGGACTGCAAACTAATGGTGGCCATTCATGGAGGCTCCTGCCTTCCTGGCCTGCCTTGCAAAACTGGCATCCTTTTGTTTTTTTGCTCTCACCCACAGTTGCACCTGTGGACTTTTGCATCTTCAACCCCCACTCTTAAATCTCCATTTTGATGTAGGTTGAAATGGGGAGGGGGGAAATGAAGCCCCACTGGCGTATTTCGCACCCAGGACCTCCAGCAGCAGCAGCAGCAGCAGAAAGCTCCGCCCAGCAGCTCAGCACAAAAATCCACAACAAAAGCCTCCTTCCCTAATGTTCCCTGGTATAGGGAACTCCAATTCTCACCATCCCCGGCTGATGCCATTTGGGCAGGGGACTATGGGAACTGAAGTCCCAGAGGACGGCGTTGGATCGTGGAGGGCAGGGGTCTCTGAGCACTGTGGGGAAGACCCAAGGACAGGAAATCATTAGCATTAGGAAGGAAGGCCACCGGGTGATCTAAGGGTTGTAAATCGGACAAAAACAAGAAGCATCCTGCCAAAGGGCAAAGTCTGTCCATGCTCTTTCCAAGAGATCTGCATGATGCCTTGGAGCTGAGCTTAACCCAAAGGAATTGTGCAGACTTCTCCTCCTCCGTGTAAATTTAAGAGCCCCTTCGGCTCACAGCTTTGTTCAGTCACAGCTTCTTAAATGATACAATTCAAATTAAACCACTTTTTTTCAGACTCAGCAAGATCCACCATCCTATTTGTTCCCATACTCTAAATTTCTGCCCGAAATTTTCCCTTATGCACAGCTTAGAAGACTCCTTTCCCAAATGAACGATTTAAAAGAAAAGTAAATGTTTATTATACACGCTTACACTACACTTCTCCGGCCAAATCCTTGATTGAGGTTTGGGAGAACCCAGAGACAAGGCTCTATTTACAGTCCCCGCAAAGGCCCAGGGGCTGGGAGCGGGGGGAGGCACGCTGGCGGGCCTGAATGCCATCCACCTGGCCCCCCTTCAAAACTCGGGGCCGGGAAAACACTTGGGGGTCATCTCTTTGCACATAACAACAGGAAAATGTTGCAGTTTGCGGTTGTAAGTTGGTGCTTCCCTTTTGAAGCACAAGCTGGCGTGTTTGTCGCACTCACACGCCAAGGTGGCACACACCGATCTGTTCTTGTACTCTGTGGGCCGGAGAAGAGAGGATCAGCCCAGGAGGGGGGCGTCTCAGACCCTTCCCAACTTCCACACCCCTGGGCAAAATTGTGAATACCACAAAACCTGGGAGAACTCACTGCACTGCACTTTGTTGTTGATAATCAGGTATCTGTAGTGGTCGATGTATGGATGGCAACCCTGGTGGTGTAAATTTTCGTAGCAGCAATCGTGGTTATAGCAACACCTGGGCCAGAGAGGCGAAAGTCAGATTTTGGACAGAGAGAGAGAGAGAGAGAGAGAGAGAGGCGACACAAAAACTTTCCTTCCAGCACAGAAGCTCTTTTGAAGTCGTTTCCCTCCCGGTGTGAATCGGACGGGAATCTTTTAAATCTGAAGGGTGTTATTCTCCACATCCTTTCGAGATCCTGAGCCAAAGTGGGCCTTAAAGCTGGCAGCCCAACTGAGCTCCCTGGGCAAGAAAGGGAGGAGTACCAGTAGCTCTTGACGTTACAATGGCACTGAAAAAAGTGACCTAGGACCGTTTTTTCACACTTATGAAAAAGTGGGAAGAGTTTTCACCCCTGTAGTCATGTGATCCAAATCTAAACGCTCAGCAACTGCTCACACTTATGACGGTGGCAGTGTCCCGGGATCACATAATCTCCTTTTCTGACTCAATGGGGACGCCAGATTCACTAACTCAACTGCAGCAATTGCAAAATTGCACAATTTTGTACACAACTGCACAACTTAACAGCCCTGGCAAGAAAGGTGGTAAAAGGGGAAGCCTTGGGCTCCACTGTGGTCGTAAGTTGAGGACCAGCTGTGTTACAGAAGACTGTCGCTCTCTTTTGCGCCTCGTCCCACAGCCAGCGGGGTTCCCGCGGGGTGTGTGTGTGTGCTGCAGAAGGGGGGGGGTCATGCAGCCACTGGGAGCCGGGTTCAAAAGAGGCGGTGGGGGGGAGCCACTGTGTTAGGCGGCTGAACTCACGTGTCTGTGGGGTCCCTCGGCTTCCCTCGCCCACCCTTCCCGCAGTAGCAGCCGTAGCCGTTGAAGTAGATGAGCACGTTCTTCTGTGTGATCCGCTGGATCATCAGCTTGAAGTTGAGGAGGTTGTTGGCAGTGATGGCAAACACTGCAAAGAGAGGGGGAAGAGGCTAGTCCTCAAGAGGGTGCTAGGAAGGACATGCAAGCCAGGATGGGTGGACTCCAGCTCCCGAAATTCCCCAGCCAGCCAGCCAGGCTAACCCTACCCATTTCTTTTTAAAAGGAAGCCTAATACACATAAATGCTTCTGCTTTTCTCTTTAGAGGGAGGGCAGGCAGAGAAGAAGTTGGCCGTCCTTGGTGAAGCTGAATGCGAGAAAAAGTCCCAAACCGGAAAAGAGGAAAAACAAAACAAAAAGAGAAGGAAGCCAACACAGGAAAATGAAAAAAAGGCCTGGGGGAAACCAGGTCGCCCCAAGGGGGTAACGGGCACGTCTTTCCAGAAAGCACCCTGGGGACAGCCAGGACCAGCCTGACGGAGAACCTCTGTAGACCTTCAGGGAAAGCAGATCCCACGTTCTCTTTTCGAGGGGAGGGGTCTGTGATGAAGAGGAGAATGAGAGACCCTGGAACCTAGCAGCACTTACCGCTCGCCCCCAGCACCATGGCTACGTGAACCAGCCTCATCTCGGGAAGGGCCTGGGGAGGAGAAGGAGGAGAAACAGGCGGCTGCCTGGATCATTTCTACAAATAACTCTTATCAGAGTTGGAAGGGACCCCTTCTAGTCCAGAAGTCGCCAACCTTTTGGACCTCGGGGAGCACCAAACTCATAATTTTAAATCCTGCGGACCAGAAACCCTGGGAAAATCCCCCCAAAAGTCTGCAGGAAAATCCCTCACCCTGTTTTCCTACTGGTCAATCATTCTTTACTGTCTCCAGCTCCATTCTTAGGGGGAGGGACAGAGAGAGAGAGACTTTTGGCTTCATGCAAGGAAAGCAGCAGAAGCAACAGAAGTCTTTTTTTCTCTCCCCCAGACTCTGCCAGAAATGAGTCTTTGCCGGGGCAGCCTCTTGGAGCAGGATACCTTGCAGGGTCCCGAAGACTCATTTCTGGCAGAGTTTTGGGGAAAGAAAGAAATAATTTTGCTGCTTTCCTTGCACGCAGCCAAAAGCAGAAGAAGAAAGAAGTGGAAAGAAGCAGACCAGTGGCCAGGCAAGGTGCATGGGGCGAGTCATGGGAAAAGCCCCCCCCCGCACCCTTCCCCCCCTCCCTTCCCTACCTCTTCTTGTTTGCAATGCAGGCGATGCAAGCCTTGTGTTCCTGAGGGCCATGTGGGCGGCACAGCCTTGTGTTCCGTGCAGCCTGCATTAATGGCTTTGGGGGGTGCTTTGGGGGTCGGACAAGTGGGACTTGCCCTTGAAGTCCTGCAATGGTTCAGCTGGGTTATATACCTTGTCCCAGGTATGCCAGGGAATCTCCCTCGGCTGGTCACCTCCCAGCTCTTTCCTCTGTTCTGGAGGGCTCCATGGGGACCCGCTAGGAAAGCTCAAAACCCACAGACGGGCTTGTCCAAAAGCGAAGCTGTGTGACTCTCCACCACTGGGCAGAACCACGGCAGTTTTGTTCTGGAAGGCGATGGGATTGTGATGCCAGGAACTCTGGAACCCTTGTGGGGGGAAAGGCAGGGCCTGAGAAGACTCCTCCGGAGAAGGAGGCACGAATGGAGAGAATGGGATACAGAACAGAAGAGTCAGAAGGGACCTTGGAGGTCCTCTAGTCCAATGCCCTGCTCAAGCAGGAGACCCAATGCTATTTCATACAAATGGGAGTCTTCCTCAAAAACCTCCATTGATGGGGGAGCACCCACGATTTTTGGAGGGAAGCCAGTCCGCTGATAAATGGTTCTGTCAAGAAATTCCTCCTTATTCCGAGTATGGTTCTCAGAATACATTTGGAAGGGACCTTGCAGATAATCTAGTCCAACCCCGTAGCCAAGCAGGAGACCCTATCCAATTCCGGGCAAGTGGCTGTCCAGCCTCTTCTTAAAAGCCTCCAGTGACGGATCACCCACCATCTCCAGAGGGAAGCCAATCCACTGATTAATTGTTCTCAGTGCCAGGAAACGTTTTCTTAGTTCTAGGTTGAATCTCTCTTTGATAATCTGCCATCCGTTACTTTCTGTCCTGTCCGGAGGTGCTTCGGAAAAGGTGCCTGACCTTGCAGGGTCGTTGTGAAGCAGAGCCAAGCTGATGAATGGAAAGCTGGGACTTCCTTCCAAGCAAACGGATTTCTTTTTTGTACTGAGTGAGTTCTCCTAAATTCGCTTTTTCATCTTTATTGAACTATGGTGAGAAATGAAACTGCTAAGGTCAAAAATTCCCTTCTGGCTTCCTGTTTTTAGGAGGGTGGGTGTTCCAAGAAGCACAAAGAAAGGGAAGTTGAATTTGGGGGCTGAATTCCCCAAAAGGGGGAGGTCCCTCTGGAGCCCTCTATAAACCCCTCCAGGTAGTTTCGACTTCTGCAGCCCAGAATCCTCTCTGTTGCACTGCAGGGACAGGTAAGGGGGCAGGACGGAGGGAGCCTTACACCCCACAGCAGCTTCCCAGAAGTGTCTTCCAATTCTCTTTCTCCAGCAAGGCAGGCATAAATTAAAATGCACTTGCAAAATTGTACATTGCAAGGTTTCTGTCCATGTGCAGAGTACAGCTCTGTTTTTTCACTTCTGGTCTCCCATCCTCTGGAAAACAGAAGTTGGGGGTTCTCAGGTTTATTATGAGATGATTTGTGGGAGTCCGTGGATTAGATTAGATTTTGGATTTTATTTCTTGGACCCTGCCTTTATTATTTTTACCAATAACTCCAGGCAGTAAAATCCTCCTCCCTCCTGGGATTCCTGTGCTTTGCATGGAGCGTTTCCCCACCAGAGGCAGAAAAGTCACCCCTCAGCTGTATTGGTAGTCCTCAATGTATAACTATTCATTTAGGAAGCTTTCAAAGTTACAACGGCACTAAAAAAAGGGTGACGTGTGACCATTTTTCAGAGTTACAACCTTTGCAGCTGAAGATGAGCCCTTCCGTCCTGCTGCTCTTCCTGCTGACTTCTGGTAAGGGCCCGAGAGTCCCCCCCCCCCCCCCCCCCCCGGGATGGTGGTGGCTTCTCCCTTTCTGAGGAACAGCTGGACAGCTGCCTCTCAAGGAGGGTTGCGTTGCTTTCCCTGGACCATGCAGGGGGGTGGACTAGATGATCCTTTGGGCCCCTTCCAGCTCCACGGTTTTACACTGGGGTGGCTCAGCCCAGAGCCCGTCAGAAGAGGGATCTTGCAGGCGTCCAACTGAATTCATCAATCCAATCTGACTTTTATTTTAATCATGGTTTGCTGAACAAGCCACAATTAGCAGGATTCACGCAATGGATCAGAGCATAAGCTTAACTTACAAGCCAGGCTTTGGCTGTGTGGCCTCCGAGATGCATGTTAGCTTTCAGGACCAGGGACAGCAGCAAGCCAATGAGGGAACCTGGTCTTTTTCCCCCCACATGACTGTGGCAAATGAAACTGGACACAACTCATTTAATGATCAAATCGTAGGGGTCCAGCCGAGGTCATAAGTCGAAGACTCTCTGCAATCCCCCCGTGCATCCGCTTTGGTACATGGGGATGAAAACGACAGTTCTGGTCCTTGATTCCTGTATCATCCCATAGAACATCACTAATAAATTAAGTTGCATTATGGTTTAAAGCAGGTTTCTCCAAACTTGGCCCCTTTAAGACTTGTGGACTCCAACTCCCAGCAGGGCTGGCTGAGGAATTCTGGGAGCCGAAACCCCCAGATCTTAAACTGGCCAAGTTTGGAGCCCCCTTGGCCAGTTTAAGGGCCAAGCCACAAAGTCCTGGTTCTCACTAGACCAGAACAAACCCACAGATCCAGTCTGGGATCCTTCTCATTTCCTGCGATTTCAACCACCGTTGTTTTCCAGAGCTGACCACGACCCACGCGGACTTGGTGCAACTTTACCGCATGGTCACCCAAGTGACAGGCAAGAAGGCGGTCCCCTATTATTCCTCCTACGGGTGCTACTGCGGCCTGCGGGGTAGAGGGAGGCCCAAGGATGCCACGGACAGGTAAGGGGGTGACCCACTGTCATTTGCCCCTCTCTGGGGAGCCGGTGGGACTCCAAATCCCAGAATTCCCTCTGCAACATGCTTGGAAGACCCCATGGAGGCCAAAGGAAGAGAGAGAAGAGGGGGCGTAGGCTCCTTCCCGGGAGTCACCCCCTCTTTGCCTGCTCCCACAGGTGTTGTCAGAGGCATGACTGCTGCTATGGCCAGCTGCAGAAGTGGGGGTGCCGCCCCCACATCACCAGCTACAGCTACCGCTACGGCCAGGGGAAGATCCAGTGTGGTGAGTTGGCTTGGCTGCAGGAAGCTTCCAGGACCTATTTTGGGACACACACACACACACAGAGAGAGAGAGAGAGAGCTTCTGTTCCTGGGCACAGTCAGCCCATGACCACAGTGGGGACCAGATTTACTGTCACTAGCCAAGGTGAGTCATGCTTGATTTTACAGCCTATTTTTTTGCCATGGTTGTTAAGCCAATCACTACACTTGCTAAATGAATCACACTGTCATTAAACAAATCCGGTTTCTTTCACTGACCATGCGAGAAAGATTGTAAAATCAGGTTGGTTCAGGAGAGCCGTCATAACTTGAGGACTACCTATAATTTCTTCATTGTCCTACTCTCTTATTTTACTGCTCCGTTATTTGACTTTCCCCTTGTTTAAAATTCCTTTTCATTTCCTTGTGAAACCGTCCCTGGTGAGATGGGTGATCTTCACTTAATGACAACTCTTCACGCCCCTCGCCTGCTTTTCTCTCCTGAGGGGGCTGTGGCACCCCAGAAGTGAAGGGGGGATTGAGGGGGGCTGTGAAAGGAGGCTGGTGCCAACCACCCCCAATCTGGGGGGGGGCTTCGGTCTCACAGCCGTGAGCAAAACCTCCTCCTTGGGGCTCCTTCCTCCACCAAGACGGGGGTGCCCTCTCCTCCGCTCACGGGGCGCTTCTGTTGCAGGCAGCAGTGCCAGGCGGTGCCAGGAGGCCTGCAGCTGTGACCGGGCGTTGGCGCTGTGCCTGAAGCAAAATGCACGCTGGTACCAGAAAAAATACACCTTCTACCCAAACTTCCTGTGCAGGGGGCCGTCTCTATCCTGCTGATCGTGCCTGGCAGGTTGCCAAGCAGGTCCAACCAGAAAATAAGCAATAAAAACCCTTCTAAAACTCTCTTGCTCTTGTCGGGGGGGGGGGGGGGGGGACTGTAGGCCGACACACTCTAGACACACAATTTTCACACAAAAAGGGTGACTCCGCGCCCTGAAATTCGGGGCTGAGAGGGTAACCCCAGAGGACCTTTCCAGCAAGGGGGTGGGGGTGGGTGTTTTTGTAGCCGATGGGCAAATCGATCTGCACTGACGAAGAGGAAGGCTGTTGGTTTCCTTGCAGACGTTTCATGACCCAGCTACGTAACCTCATCAGTGCTAGAAGGGAGGGGGGCTGGAGGAGGAGGAGAAAGAGCAGAATGAGGAGGAGGGGGGTCTTTGCTGCTCAGTTCTGAGCATGAGTCAAGGACCACTGCGTGAAATTGCAGGGTCTTCTTCTACACGGTCCAGCTGAATCCAGGGGGCTTATCAGGACAGACCCCCTTTCGAGGGCTCCCCCAAACTTCTCGTCCACGTTATAAAAACTCAGCGGTGGGGAAGAAGTAGAAACGTAACTTGGCTGTTTTAAGGCCTTAAGGTCCCAGGACCAGTTCCTTGACTTACGGCCTCCTTTTACCCCAAACGTCTGCCCCCCCCCCCCCCCGGCCAACCTAATGGATCCCACCCGAGAGGTACGAAGTCCCCCCCCCCAGCCTCGCCCAGGAGAGCCCCCCCTCCATGGAGCTTCGGCCGGCCTGTGGAAGAGCCCCAAACGAGGCCACAACGGCATGGCTGGCACCGGCCCACATTGACCGGCGGGCCGTAGGGAGAAGACGCCTTTCCCTCATTGTGGCCCAGCCATCCCCGCACCCCGCGTGAAACCTGGCTCTGGAGAAAAAATTTCCATCCCTCCCTCCCTCTTCCTTGCCCGTTTCGGGGACCAAGCCCGTACGAGGAAAGAGAGCTGGGTGACGAAAGAAGATGCCCGTGGCTGCTGACCTTTGACCCCCGAAGCTGCCCCAACAGCCAGAAGGTCAGGCTTGCTTGGAGACCGGAAGGGAGATCGGCTGGAGAGGCTTCTGAAGATGGCCCTTCAGGTGAGAGCGAGGATCACCTGCTCGGAGGAATGGGGAAGTGGGTGCCCTCCCTCCCTCCCTCCCCTCCCCTGCCTATAAAAGGTGCCACCCGCGTCTTTGGGGGGGGTCAGAGGAGCAGAGGGAGCTTGGAGGGAGGAGGTGGGCTGCTTCCAGAGCCCCCAACGCTGACACAAAGGCGGCCAGGAGTAAGTACCTGCGACTTGGCTCTTTTCCCCGGCCTCTCTCCTCTTTTGGATCCTGGCTATCCTTATCCAGGGAGTCCTCGACGTACAACAGTTCGTTTAGCGGCCATCCGAAGCTACAGCAGCCCCGAAAGAAGGGGCTTAGGGCTGTTTTTCCACACCTACGACCATTGCAGCCTCCCCACTGTGACGTGATCAAAATGCAGGAGCTTGACAACTGGCATGGACTTGCAACGGTTTCAATGTCCAAAATTTTCTGTTGCTAAACGAGAAAGTTCTCCAGCGACTTTTGCCCCATTTTACCGCCTTTCTTGCCACGGTTGTTAAGTGGATCAGTGCAGTTCTTATCTTAGCAACGCGGTTGTGAAGAGGCACGCGGCTAAATTCTCTTTGGAAGCCAAAGACCCGGCGGAGCCATAAAAGAAACCTCTATCAGGAGAAGGGCAAAAACACCATCCCACTTCAGTGGGTTTCAAGTGTTTGGTCGCACCCAGTTTTTTAAAAACTACTTAAACCTCTCAAGCAGCCCGGCCGGCCTCGGTTGGATTGGGCTCCTGTAACACCCACCCGAAATATTTTTTTTTCCCTGGAAGAGGAGAAAAAAGGAAGCTTTGTTTGCCTATCCAGGCAGTAAAATTATCCCCGTTTTGCAGCCACCCCTTGTTGTGAGTCCCTCTGGTCTTCAGAAGCAGGTGGCCGTAAAACAAGACCTGAGCAAAGAGGCACCTCTTTGCGTCCGTCTACTTGGACCCCAGGAGAGATTTATTTTTGATATCTTGCCTTCATCTGAATGTCAAGCCGCTGCCCAGCCCAGGCGGCTGACAAAACATCGTTCCAGATTAAAACCATTAGCAGGATAAACTCAAGGGACCAAACAAGATAATCTGCATTCAAGACAAAAGAAGAGCAAAGAACACAGTGTGACGTCTGGCTGCGGAACTGGGGTCAAAATCGGGGCGCTTCTTTGCAGGCCAAGCTTCCCGGTCTCTGGGCCATGGGAAGGGACTCTTGGCGGCTCCCTTTGGGGAAACGGAGTCACCTCCGCTCCCACAAGCGGTTTTGATCTTGGCCATCCAACTCAACAACTGTGCGATTCACTTAACAACTGTGACTGGCAAGAACAAATCTAATAAATAGATAAAAATGATTTTTTTTTCCTACCATGGCTAGGTTTCAAAACAAGACTGGCCACCCATTTGACTGGGATGGTGTAAGTTCTCCTGCCTTGGGCAGCGGGCTGGATTAGATGACCTTCAAGGTCCCTTCCAGCCTTAGGATTCCATGATCCTAACATTAACCCATCCATTTTTCATCTCTAAAATTATTTTGGCCAATATTTAACGTTTGAGGGGCATCAAATCTTTTCTTTTTTGGGGGGGGGGAGAAGAAACAGCCCCAAAGCCCTCCCTCCGAAAGCCTGATGCCCCTCAGACGTTAAATATTGGCCGGAATAATTTGAGACCGGAGGATGTCGAGGTCATAAATCAAAGTGAAGGACGTTAACGCCGCCTGCTTGTTCCCAGGTCCAGATTCAAGAGGATGAAGACTTTCTGGATGGTAGCTGCGTTGCTGGTCAGCGGTGAGTGAAGCGGGGGGGGCGGCGGGGGAGAAAATACAGGAAGGCGTGCCGATCATTCTCCCTTCTTCGCAGAAGACAAACGGGGGGGGGGCAGTCTGCCTGGGGTCATTAAGCGAGGACTGGCTGCATGTGCCATGAACCGTTCAGAGAAGCGGGGAAAGGGCCCTTGGTGTTTGAGACTTTTCCGTCTTTTTCCAGCCGGGGGGAGCCTGATCGAATTCGGGAGGATGATCAAGGAAGAGACGGGGAAAACCGCCTTCCCCTCCTACACCACCTACGGTTGCTACTGTGGCCTGGGGGGCAAAGGCCAGCCACGCGACGCCACGGACCAGTAAGAAGCTCCCGACGTCCCACGGCCGTCACCCCCACCGGGCCCGGAAGCCCCCCCAGGCCTTCAAGGGCTGCAGAGACCCTTCTACGGGGCAGGGGGGGGGGAGGAGGCTGATATAAACGCAGACGCTAGGCAACTGACCCCTATTTATGACGGTCGCACGGCCCTGGAGGCCCTGCGACCCCCCCTTGGAGGTCTTTGGACAAGCAGAATCGGGGGGCAGCTGGACTTGCCCCATGGCTGCATGGCGAACGGAAGAACTCAGCAACTGTGGCCAGAGACGTTGCAAAATGGGGCAAAGTTCACTTAGCAACGGTCCCGTTTAGCCCTGGAGATGTGGGGCGTCATTGTGGCCTTAAGCCAAGGACCTCCTGCGCTGGCAAGAGTTGCGTGATCTGCCCTCCCTCCCTCCCTCCCTCCCTCCCTCCCTCCAGGTGCTGCTTGACGCACGACTGCTGTTACGAGAATCTGACCGACTGCCACACCAAAACGGACCCCTACCAATACAGCCAGAGGAATGGGGTCATCTTCTGCGGTGAGTGGGCTGCCCAGACCTGGGTTCAAAGGTTTGGATCCTAAGACCCTTCCCCCAACTTTGGGCCACCTGCCCTCTCTTTGACTAAGCTTAAGGGGCAAAACTCAGGCTGTCCACTGGGGGGGGGGGCACTCAGGATTCCCTGCATCTCTGGCTGCCCTCTGGGGGCCAGGCTGGGATTTGCAGCCTCCTGCGAACAAAGGCTGAGCCCTCGGGAAGGGTGCGCGGGGTCAAGCAGAGCTTTGTTCTCCTTGCAGAAGGCGGCACCTGGTGCAAGCAGCAGATTTGTGAGTGCGACAAAGCAGCGGCAATCTGCCTCCGAGACAGTCTGGACACGTACAACACTGAATACCAGTTTTATGTGGACCTCAATTGCAAGGAGGGTCCGAAGAAATGCTAAGTCTCAAAAAAACAAAAACCCCTTGAATTACACAATCATAGTTATGTTGCCTTATTTTCCTGGATGCAACACTGGTTAATAAACAGCTTTGCACAAACGATCAGCTTGCGGCCTCTCTTATTACGCCTCTTTGTGTACAATGCAAACACGAGAGAGGAAACCTGTTTGGCTGTCGCCCAGTCAAGGTTTTCCAATCCTCTTGTTACTGGGACCTTCAGTAAATTAACATTCTAGTCCTCAAGGTTCTGAATAAAGGAATTAGAGGGATGCTTTCCACTGAGCCAGGACACAGAATCAAGTTCAAACCCTGGGGACCGAAACAAGAGACGTGGGGGGGGGGGGGGGGGGGCTCTGCCCCAGAGCAGCTTAAAGCAACCGGAACCTTTACCAGGGAAGGGCAGCCCCTGGATCAGAGAGCGGGAGTGGCTGATGGGCAGGGGTGTGGATCCCTGCGTTAGACGACCTCTTCCGCCCCATTGCAAACCTTCCTGCCAGAGGAAACCCTGGCATTTCCCCCCTCCCTGTGTGTTTTGTTCCAGGCTGATTCCACGCTTAATTAGGGATGCACAAAATAAACACACTCACAAGGAATCGTTGGCACAGCTGGCATTGCACACTCGGGCGAGGGAGGGAGGGGGAGCTTTGTGTTTGCTGCCCGTGGCTGCTTAAAACAGCTTCGGGGGGGGGGGCACGTGGCCTCCGTGACCTCATTCCTGGCTCTGGCTGGGAGGAGGGCTGGAAGTCCGACGGTTTTGTCTGCCTTGGAAGCCAAAGGCAGGAAGACTGACAACAGCTCATTTAGTGACCGCCTGGCGGTACAAGGGCCCTGAAGCACATGAGGTGCTGTCTTCACACTTCACACTTACGTCCGTTGCAGAGTCCCGGGGTCACCTGATCCCCTTTTGCGACCTTCTGAACAGCAAAGTCGGTGAGGAAACCAGATTCACTTACCAACCGTGGTCCTAACTATGCAACTGCAGGGATTCACTTAACAACGGTGGCAAGAAAGGATGTAAAATGGGGCAAAAGTCCCACGACAACCACCTTGGGCTCAGTTAGGGCCGTCAGCCGAGGACACCACCCCGGGGTAAGTAAAGCGGGGCAGAGGAGCTACGAACACGCACGGCGTCTTTGCTAGGATCCCTTGGAGGGACCCAAATAATGACCCTCCAAGCGCCCACAAGGGACCCCGAAGGGCAGACGATGCCACCGCAGCCCCGAGAGCCACCAATGGGTAAATTCACACCCTGTTGCCCACGTTTTCCATGGCCTTCTGGGGAGGCCTGGTGGGAGGACCTCACCTGCCGCTCCGCCTGGGGTCAGATTGGAGCCACGGACCAGTTTCCCCAGTTCCACCAGTTTGGCGCCTTGCCAGGGGCTGAGAAGAAAAAAATTCTCCTTATCTTCTTGATTCTTCCTTCAAGTGTTTCCTTTACACTTTCTCCCCTGCTGACTGGTGGGTTGGACACTGGATGCTCTCCAGGTCCTTCAACGTCTTGAGGCTCCGATGGGCTCTCCACGGTCAAGAAGGTAGGAAGCCGTGTTGGCTACTGAGAAGAAGGGAAGGTTATGTCCACAACAGAGACCTCAGACGTCCTTCCACCGTCCTTGGGCCAAAGCCCAATGACGGATATGGATGATGCTAGAAGATCCCAGAGAAGGCCTCCTCTGGAGCGTGAGGCGGCTGCTCATGAGCCTCTGGACCAACCAGAAGGAGCGCTGGGTCAGACATCCGGGTGCTGGACTTACTTTCGTGGGCAGGCCACGACTGGAGCCCTGGGTGGCCCTGGGGCCCCCATTCCTAGCAGAACAGGAGCAGATTAAGACTGATTCAGAGGAAGGACCCAGATGGCTCAGAGACCCGAGGAAAGGATGTAGGAAGACTGACTGGAGGAATGGAGATATTTAAAGTGAGGAAGGAGAAGAACTCGGGGAAAACAAGACGGTGGTGGTTAGGGACAAGAAAAGAAACCGACAAGCAAGATGGCGTTACTCCACACCCACAAGGACTACATTGGATTATATTTGGATTTAAAAAATTCAGAACAAAGTTGCAATTCGCAGGGTCAATGCAGGAAGTCCTTGATTTACAACCATTTGTTTAGTGACCATTCAAAGTTACAACTGTCTCGGACCAAACTATTACAAGCTGCAGCTGCGCCTGGTTGGCTTTCATGCTTGTTGCAACGATGGGCTTTGTGGTCCTTTCAAACCAGGGTTTGCTGGCTGCATCATTTCCGAACCACAACACAAAGAGGTTGTGAGGTTAAATTTCAGGACCCAGGACAGCGTCTGGATCTACCCCTCAAACGCCCCCCACAAATTGAGTGCCAACAGGGTGCTGCTTCTCCTAGCGTGACCCTCTCCGGGGTGGCCGATTTGGGTGGCGGGGGGTAGTTTGTAGCCCTGGAGCTTGAGGGAAGGACGGGGCAGAAAGTGGGCCTGGTGGACCAACTTGGATTTGTGCACACCCTCTGGGAAACACCTGGCTGATGCCTGCAGGTGATGCTGGGTGAGTTGTGTCTTTTCCCTTCCTTTGATCCGAGGCTGACAGATCCAGGGTTGCTCTGACGAAGGCTGAGCCTTTCTAGCTGTCATAGCAAAGAAAACAGCCTTTGGCTGACTCGTGGCGCTCACGGCATTCAGTCCAGAGCCACCTACTGCTCTGTAAGCATCCACCGGCTGGGCTTCCTCCGGGATTCTGGGGAGTGGAGTTAACCAGCCGGAGGGGGCTGGACTAGAAGACCTCTAAGGTCCCTAACTGGACGTTTTCCTGCCTGGTGTGCTGCTCCTTCCAGGGGGAGAGAAAGAGAGACAGGACACCACACGGTCTCCAGGATGGCCCGTCCGCTCAGGGGCAGCAGCCCCTTCCTGCTCCTCTGTGGTGAGTCCTGGCTGAAAGGCAGGCGGGAAGGGAGGGCTGGACGAAGCGAGGGATGAGACAGAACCCAGCAGAGGAAAGGAAGGGCCGCATTGTCATCGCTTGTTCAAGGAATATTATTCCAACACGGCAGATTAGGGAGAATCACCCAAAAGGAATGAGAGTCTTCGGAGTCTTACAGCTGAATCAAGGAATGTTTGTAGCTCTGAGCTGAAATGTTGGGTCCTGGGTGCTCTCCGAGCTGGGAGGTTTCCTGGCAGACATTTCAGGACCCAGCTAGGCAACATCATCAGTAATGCTGTCTAGTTTGGGGATGAAACATCCGCAACGAAACCACCAAGCTCAGAGAGCGCCAAGGACCCCTCCTTCGGCTCAAGGCGGCCCCAGAGCTCCCGCCGATGCACATCTCGGGTCCTTGGAGAACAAACGGAACATCCGCGCTGTGAGCTTCCCCTGGGCTCATGGGTTGGGGCCCCAAACGCACCATTTCCTGAAAACACCCCGTGCTGCTTCACACGGTGGATTCAACGTGAATTCATTCCTGGGGCGAAGGGAGAAATATTTATCCAAAAGGGAGGAGAGAAAAGGCAGGAGAAGCAGCAACGGACGGAAGCTCATCAAGGAGAGAAGCGGCCGAGAACCGAGGAGGAATTTCTTGAGGATAAGAAGGACCATCAATCGGTGGGACAAAGTCGCGGGGGCTCCCTCCCTGGAGATCTCCAAGGAGAGGCTGGGCAGGCCTTGGTCTGGAATGGTTGAGGGTCTCCTGCCTTGAGCGGGAGGGTGGGGGTGGACTAGAGGGCCTCCAGGGTCCCTTCCAGCTCTGTGAGCCTGTAATTCAGCCCTGGGGAGGGCGGGGGTGTCAGAATGGCAAAGAACGCCAAATCCTTCGAAGCCTCGGCCGGGCACCTGGTGGCGGAGGCTCCGTGCTGGCCCTGCCCACCAGGGCCACGCGGGGTCTGGGGCGACAGCTACCCCCCCCTCTTGCTTCCAGTTCTGGTCTTCGCCAGCGCCAACCTGATCCAGTTTGGACGGATCATCGAACACTTGACCGGAAAACACGCCTTCATCTACAACGGCTACGGCTGCTACTGCGGGTGGGGCGGCTCCCGGCAGCCGGTGGACGCTACTGACTGGTAAGTAGGCGGAGGGGGGACCTGGGAGGGGTCCTAACCACCCCCCCCTCATTTCCCAGAAGAGCCAAAGCAGGCCAGCACCTCCACTCGGCTCGGCTTCCCACCACCACCACCAGGTGGGCGCTAGTGGGATTGCAGGTAGTCCTTGGTTTACGACAGTCCAGTGACCATTCGAAGTTGTGCGATCCACATTCAGGTGCTGGGCAACTGCCTCATATTTATGACGGTCGCTCGTGGTGCCCCTCTGAGAGCTTCTCCCAAGGAAAGTCAGTGGGGAAGCCAGGCTCACGGAGCAGCCGTGTTGCTAACCTAACAACGGCAGTGATTGACACAACCGCTGGGGCAAACGTCACTGGATAACTGTCTCGCTTAGCGACAGAAATTTCAGGCTCAGTTCTGGTCATTAAGTCAAGGACTGCCCGTAGTAGAACTACGAAGGGAACGACGACGAAGGGACTCTAAATGCATCGCGGGGAAAACCGATGAGAAATACGAATCAAGAAGAGCCGGGAGAGTTTGGTGCCCGAGCTGCTGCGTCGGCCGGTCAAAAGGTTTTCAAAGGAAAATTATTGATTAATAAAAGGAAACGAGAGAAACAGGTGGAAGAGCCCCGGAGCCCTGAAGGGGCCCCAGACAAAGAACTCCCTGTGAGAGCCGCATTGGAGGAGTCTGCTTTGTAAACTTTGGCCCAGCCGGAGGCCGAAAGGGACACACCCAGGCGGTTATCTGGCGGGATTTGGCACGCAGCCCCTTGGCCGCACAATCGTGGCTCTGTCCTTTGGTTCCAGGTGTTGCCAAGCGCACGACTGCTGCTACCAGGCCCTGTCGCTGCGCCACTGCAAGCCCAAAGTGGAGAAGTATTTCTACTCCCTCGGGAAAGACACCGTCACTTGCGGTAGGTGGCAACAACACCAGCCACGCCGGCACAAGAGGGAGAAGCTCCCAGGATCCCCGCTAAATAAATGCCAGGCTGGCTGGGGATGCTGGGACTTGGAAGTCCACGGGGCCTGGGGGGGGGGGCAGGAGGATCGTTTGCAACACTCAGCACAGGGACCGCATTCACATAGAGGGTAACCCTAACCCTAACCCCTAATTTCCTTTCCATGAAGTGTTTCTCCCAGGGAGGCTATTTAAGGACCGCCTCTCCAAATCTGGGGAGGGGCCCAGCTGGGAGGGGTGGGCTCCCCATTCTGGGAGGATCAAAATAAGGTGAGGAAAGAGCCCCGTGGACCCCTCCCCTTCCTCCCCTCCAGGTGGGGAGACCGAATGCCGGCGGCAAACCTGCGAGTGTGACAAAGCGGCTGCCCTCTGCTTCCGCCGCTCGGTGTTCCAGGACCGATTCATCTGCTACCCAAACCTCTTGTGCCAAGGACCCACGCCGCCCTGCCAGGACTCCTACCCCCTCAGGAAGCGGCGCTGAGGCCGGAGCTTCCCAGCTCGGGATGCCCACGGGGCCCACGAAACCGTCCCGTCCCTGCCTGCTCTCTGCCAGTCTCCCCGAATTGGGTCTTCTTGCGCAATAAAGCCACAGAGGTTCAGAGTTACGACACAGGCTTTTTTCTAAGTAGGCGATCGGCTAAATCCAGGGGGAGGGTTGGGCTCTGGCGTCCCAGGAGCGCCGATGTCTTCCCTCCCTAAACAAGCCAGAAGCCTTTCCAGGGCAGGGCAGCCCCCCCAGGGAGGAGACCCGCTTATCCCTAGATCCCCCCCAGACCTATTTTGGAAGGACCTGGAGTGAAAGAAACGCAGAAACGGCCTCTGGAGGAAAACAGGGTTTTTTAAAGGGAAAACCGAAACCGTCTTTTGCATCAACATTAATAAAATGACAAATGGAACCGAAAGGTGAAGGTTGAGATCCAGGGGGCTTTGCAGAAGAGCTGCCCACTTGAGGGAGGGGGGTATTCAGGGCACATAAAGCCCCTCCTGCCTCTCTCGCTGAGCCCCTTCGCCCCCCCCCCCCCGACATCGGGGCCACCTGGACCAACTGAGGAACTTGTGTTGGGGGGGGGGGGGGGGGGAAACGACTTCCTGCAAATGATGTCTTCTGAAGCCCCGGCATTGCCCTGCCAAGACAACCTTCCCAAGAGAGCAGCCCCCCCCCCCGCGCTCACCAACCGAGAGATCCCAGCCAGATCGGAAGGGACCCTTTTGCCGGCCCTCGCCAGCCCCTCTTAGGCGGAACCCCACGGCAACCGAGGAAAAAACAGGAGCCCAAGTTCTGCCCAGCAATTCTTCCCGTGTCGATGGAAGAAAGGAAACTTCCGGGAGTCTGAGGAGGGGGCTTTGAGCCAAAAGGGGCAAAAAAAGGGGCCCCTGATCGTCCTGCCCCGATCGGCGCCCACCAAGGCGTTGCTGGGTCTTGGGGCTCCCCACTTTCTCGAGTCAGATACTGAGGGCCGCAAAGGTCTTGACCAGAGTGACCTGCGCCTGGGGGTCCCTGGCGACTGTGTTATTGTCCGAGGGGCTGCCCTTGCCGGCCAGGACTTTCTGACGGTGTCTGTCCTCCTGCCGCTTCTTCTTCTCCAACCTCTGAAGCTCCTTCTTCTGCTTGGTGGATGCCTGCCAGAGGAGGAGAGGGGTGGGTAGGAGGGGGAGGGGGGGGGAAACGACCCAGGAGTAGCCTCCGCCCAGGGCCTTCTGAAGCCAACTTTGTGGGAGGAGACCCTCCTCCCCCTCCTCCTCCTCCTCCCAGAGATCTGGGGATCGATCGGGTGTCTGGAGAGGTCGGGAGGGGCTGTCCTGGCAGGCAGGGAAGCACGGGAGAGAAGCTGCTACCGTTGGGGCTCGGGTCCCTCCGAGCAGGTCTGTGTCTTCAGAGAGAGACGAGGGTCTTGGCTGCCTGCGTGGCAAGGAGGCCCCTGTGATGGCAGGTGGGAAGAGCAGGATGCCAAGGGCACGAAAAGCAGCGAAGGGTGAACGAGACAGCAACCCTCCGGATGGAGGCCAAGAGGGAAGGCCAAGAAGCTGCCGGGGTCCAAAGATGCGGAGGAGGAGGAGGAGGAGGAGGAGGGCAGCAGGGAATCTGCCGAAGGGTTTCTCCTGTTTAAGCAGGGGGTCGGACTAGAAGACCTCCGAGTTCCCTTCCACCCAAGGGGGAAGAGGGCGAATGCAAGACTGGGCGAGGGAACCGGGCCTCGGCAGGAGGGCTGCAGAGGGGCACCAAGCAGAAGGGGGGCCAAGCAGGAGGGGGGCCAAGCAGGAGGGGCTGAGAGACGGCGGCATCACGACAAAGAGCAGGCAGGGCTGGGAGGGGGAAGCTGCAGCTCTCTCTCTCTTTTAGGTACCTTTTGACCCGGGCGGTTCCTTCCCCAGAGATTCCCACTAGGGCTATTGTTGTTTTCGGCTTCCTGGCGGCCCAAAGTCCTGCCTCGGCTTCCCTTCTCGTCCCACGGGGCCGGCCTGGGCTGCGGGTTTGGCCTGTTGGCCTGGTCTTCCTCTGCAAAGAGAAGGGCCGTGCTCAGCCGTGGGAGTCCTGCAGGGCGCTGGAAGCCTTCAAGGAGAGACTGGGCTGCCCTCTGTCAGAAGCGGGCAGGGGGTTGGACTCGGTGACCTACCAGGTCCCTTCAGACCCTGCCATTCTAGGACAAGCCCAGGACAGTGGCTCTCCTTCGCGTGGGAAGCAACCCGGTAACCGGCCGATCCAATTTAAGCCATTTGTAGAAAACATTTGCAGAAGCCTCAAAAACCCAGGCAGAGATTCCGATGCCGTGTTAAGAATCAAGTCGTGAACTTGGTTCGGACACTTAACTGTCTCCTAACTGGGTTTCCAAAGCAAAGAGTGTGTTGGGGATCAAGTTGGGGAGATTTCTGCTTTTCTAAACAAGACTTGCGTTGGCACAAACGGCGACTCTTTGGTCCTCGTGGGTGAAATGACGCCCGTTTCGGTTTTTCTCCTCTGGGGTTAACTTTGGCGAGAGATTTTCTGGAGGAAGGGCGGGCCACAAGGTTAAAGAAGGCCCTTCGCCTGAATCAGGGAGACTTAAGATGAACGTAAGACGCTGCGAAGCCTTCCTTCTCACTGAGGCGTGCGCCCATTTGCAAACACAACTGCACACCAACGCACACCAGCTTTTCCAGCAAGTAACTGATGCTTTTTCACCGTAAGAACACTTTGCAATAAGTGTAAGTCTTCGGAACAGAGTTTTCCCTGGAAAATTACTCGGCTTCAGCAAAAGTTTCCCTGGGCTCAAATGCTTAAAATCTCTCTGTTTTTCCTTCTGCGCTTAAACATGCTATCTCGATTATTGTGGAGGGTTTTTTTTACCGCTTTTTCTACAATACTTTGTTTTTCTATAATATTGTACAGATAGTCCCTGACTTACAACCACAGTTGAGCGCAAAATTCCTGTGGTTAATGGAGACATTTACATGAGTTTTGCCCCATTTTACAACTTTTCTTGCCACAATTAGTTATTACGTGAAGCTGGCTTTCCCCTTGACTTTGTCAGAATGGCCATAACTGTGAAAAATGGCCATAAGCCACTTTTTTTTCAGTGCCATTCTAACTTTGAAGAGTCACTAAATGAACTGTTGTAAGTTGAGAACTACCTGTATGATATTTTTCTACAATATTGCATTTGGGATTCTTACCCCTGCTGTTAGGAAGTAAGGAAGTAGGGAGAGGAGAGGAGAGGAGGGGACTTACGGAGGTTTTCCAGGTCTTTCATCTGGAAAAGGGCAAAGATGGTGGACTCAATGCTGTAACCTTCTGCCTCTAGGACTTGGGCAATTAAACCAACATCCTGACGAGGGAAATAAAGAGAAACACCTAGAACAAATTTCAAGTGTCTGCGTTGTCGTCGTAAACCCGACTCCCCAAATTCTTCCTGCACAAAACCCTCACCGAGCATCCGGTGGCGTTGTGGACCTTCTGGAGCGCGTCGTCCATTTCGTCCTGGCTTTCCTCTTTCGGCTGCGGCTGCCTCTCCCCCTTCGCCTGGAGGGCCTCCTGGTTTGGGGATTCGTTTTGGCACAGCATCTGGGCAAGTCCAAAAAGGGTGCAGGGGTGCGTTTGTGTGTGGAAAGAGAAGGGCTCCACTGGCTGAGCTAGCAGGCACGTCGGGAGGGCTGTAACCCCCCAACCACCCACTTTTGCCCCAAAGCCCACTGGGCAGCCAGCCAACCTCCATCTGCAGCCAAGCGGGAGCCGCTGAGTTATCATTGATCTTTCGGACGCTGTCGTAATGCTCGCCATAGCGATAGGCGATGTGCAGCTCTCGGGCGTTGCTCTTGTCTGTCCCATGGATCTGCGGAAGGAAAAGGGAGGCTTCAGACAGTGTGTGTGTGTGTGGGGGGGGAGAACTTTGCATTGGGGAGGGTGAGGAGGGGTTACTAAAACCAATTTTCAACATGGAGGGAAAGAAGGGAAGTGGGGAGGGACAAACAAGCAGAGCTAGGAGGCAGAGGTGGCCACGACCAGCTGAAAACCAACTGGAGTTTACAACAGAGTTGTAAACTTCCAGTGCTGAAAACGCCCGCCAGACATTTAACATTTTCCTCTTTTGGTCCCATTCTATATTACAGCCCAAGAGCCCCTGGCAAAGGTTCCCAAAACCTCCTTGGGAAGGAGGCCTCCAAAGCCTTCCCTGAGTTTGGGGGAGCATCTCCCGGCAGGGCAGGCCTTCCAGTGGGCCTGGCGCTGTTCTTGGGAGACCCACCTGCCAAAGGGGGGCGTTTTGCTGGTGAATGACAATGTTCACTTGGTTGTTCCTCGCAAAGGCTACGATGGCATCGTTGCCAGCAAACGTGCCCGGCTGGGCCAAATTGGCAGCTGGAAAAGACGAAAAAGACGTGAAAATCCAAGGCTGAGAGTGTGCAGACCCAGGAAAAAGAGCCTCTGTGGAAGGAAGGGGAGGAGGGCCACCAAGACGCCCCGATTCCTCAGAGGTCCCTGGAAAGGAGAGGGAACCAAGTTGGCTCCTCTTGGGCTGCTCTGCAGCAGGGACTGGCACAAGGGGGGGGGGGTGCGGCGGAAAAGCCACCATCGACACTGAAGGACTGAAAGCCCAGCAGGGCAGGGAGGAGGCCACGCACTGTGCTTCTCAAAGGGGACGTCGTCCTCCACGAAAGGCTCGAAGTCTGGCCGCTGTTGGATCATGTAGGCTACAGTGTCCTGCCGGTGCTTGAGGTGGTTCCGTGAGTGGCCCTCCAGCTGGTCCCCCAGGGCCCTGAACAGGCAGTTCCTGGCAGGAGGAAGAGACAACGGGGAGGTCAAAGAGGGCCACAAGGATGGGTCGGTCCCAGCACCGATCCCCCCGTTGGAGAGCCCGGCCCACGGACTGACTGGTGCCTGACCTTTCATTCTAACAATGATGATTGCGCTTCTGCATTCTACCTTCCGCTCTCGTTCCTTGTGGCGGATCTTATACTACTTGTTTTTATTTATTACAGTACTTACGTCCTGCCTTTATTATCCTTACAAATAACACTTTACTTTTATTTTATTGATGACCTTTTCCTGCTGCCCATTCTGCCCTACGAGGTGACTCTGGGCGGCATAACATCCGTGCCTGTATTTATATTTGCTCACTTTTTAAGGTTGTTCTCTGGCCATGAGGCGGTCATAAAGTCATTGGACTGGATCAGCTCAACTCGTGACCGAGAGACAGGCGGCATATAAATTAAAAAATAAAACACTCTAGTCCTCAGTGAGGAGCAGGGCAGATGGGAGACCAGGCCACAAGAGTCCCCCTCACCAGCCCAGCCCACCTCACAGGGTTGTTGTGAGGGAGGGGAAGCCCCCCCCACCCGAAAAAGGCGGGAAGTCCGCAATGACGTCAGAGCCGCGCCACGTAGCCGCCGTGGGCGAGGCTTGCTTACCCGTCGCCCGGCACTTCGCGCAGGCGCAGTCCGAGCGCTCGAAGCTGCTCGTTGAGGCCGCCGCCGCCGTGTTCGCCCTCGCCCTGGGCCCGGTTGCGCCTCTCGCGGGCCAGCGCTCTCCGGGCCGCCCGCTCGTCCCGCTTCCGCTCCACCTCCGCCTTCCCAGGACGCGTCCGCGCCGCCTGTTTGCGGGACATCACCGCCGCCGTTCCCGTCGGCGCGGCCCTCACCACTGCGCCTGCGCTGCCTTGGGACGGCTGTGGGAGCCTATAGAGGGGAGGAGCCAGAGCGGAGGGTATCACGCGGTAAAAGTGGGCGCCCCCGTGGTGGAGGACTGGAATTGCACCTGGCGAACGCTCTGGCTTTTCTTCTCCTTTATCTCCCGCCCATCGCAGAAAAAGCGCATAAAGGCAGCTTTGGACCCTCTTGCCTTGAAGTGACCGAATTCTTATCAAACCGGGGGAGAATTGGCTGGTCTAAAGCCTGGGGTCTTGCAGCGGCCCCTTCAATTGGATTAATTTACTCAGTTTTAACAGCTGCTTATGGGGGGTTTGTAGGTGTCTTATAATAAAGCCCATCATTTAGAATACAATTTAAAAAAAAAAAAAAAACCAGCCGGGCATGTTCAACTCCACCATCCCTACAACAGATGAATAAAGGAATCCCAAATGGAGGTGGATGTTCCAGCCTAGAAATAAGGAGAAATTAATTATCTGGCGGAGAGAACAATCAATCCGTGGAAAGGCTTTGCCGCCAGAGGTTGGGGTGGGGGGCTCCATTCCTGGTGAAGAGATTGGACAGCCATTGGGCAGGGGGTTGGACTAGAAGACCTCCAAGGGCCCTTCCCGCTTTCAGGCTCTTCCAACAACCGCACCACCTGAAAGGAGATCAGCCTGGAGTCTTGCCAGGCCCCGTAGGCCGCTCAACCTCATACCAAGGGGAACGCTAGGGGGTTTCCAAAGCCAGGGCATATTCCCTTCATTTATCACCCTGCCCTCTGCCCATTATTTATGGCCTTGTTTTTTTACGAGTCCCCTGGTTCATTCCAGAGAAGGGCAGTTCACAGCAGCTGAATCAAAGCCACCGCAGCCATCAGGATGTCTCCTCAGGATGCGTTTCATCAGCCTGGTGGCCTCCAGAGCAACTTTCTGCCAACATAACAAACCCAGGGGTGGTGATCGAGGGAATCCTGGATCGGTTGAATGCTCCAAACCTGAGCTTGTAGCCCTCGCATCTCACACGGCCCGGGTTCCCCCCGCCCTCCGCTTTTCCAAGACCCTCGCCTGGTCCATTTCCGCAGTGGTTCCTTGCAAGGATCTGCAGCTCCCCGCTTCCCCCTTGCAGGAACAGCTGGTGGGCAGGGGGCTCTCGAGAAGCCTCGGGCAGAGCAGCCGGATTTCTGGACGACTTCTGTCGGTTATCAGGCGTTGGCTTTTGGCCATGGCTACCCCAGGGAAAGGGCAGAGCGGGTTAATCAGTAACTCTGCAGCCAGTTAAGGGCGACCCTGCAGGGATCACTGTTTGTTGACTCAAGCACCTTTATGCCACTTCTCACCATTCCGCTCAATCCCTTCGGCGTGTTCGGTTTAAAGGTAATCTTTTCGCAGAATGGATCCACCCTTCACCTTGTCTGACCTTTCCTGAAACTAGAAAGACCGGAGACCAGAGATTCTTTAACTACTATGCCCAAGTTGAACTTGACAATGTATTTAATTCTTTTAGCAAACAAAATACATCCAGATGGATCATCTGCTACGGAATACAGAGCTGGAAGGGACCTTGCAGGTCTTCTGATCCCACTCAACCATTTCATGGCCCAGGAGGATCCATCCACCTGCCTTAAGGTACCCTGGCAAGATGGGTTCTCAAGTGAACAGGATCAAAATCTAGCTTTTCACACCCTCTGTGGAAGTACCGAGGCAGAACATTCTCTCTTCCCGCCTGACCTAAAAACACACTTGCAACCTCAAGCATTTTTCTGAGAATTCTTGTGTTTTGGAAAGGCCCTTGAGGCGTGTTGACCAAGGTCTCAAAGGAGCACACCTATTTTCAGAGGGCAAACAAACCGACTCATACTTGAGTCGGTGAAGTCTACTTGGCTGCCTCAACCTGCCCTCCGGTGACCTGCAGCCCAGATGTCCTTCTGCCAGTCCAGGGCACCGTCCCAAGCCTGCCAACCTGATCTCCTAGCAATGCAGGAGGGCCTCTGGCCAGAAAGACGATCGCCACCAAATATGGCTATAATACACTCGAGCTCCGGCTGAGTCATATTCCTTTTCTTAATTGAAACCAACTCAGTAAAAGATCTCGAACGGGTTTGAGAGACAAGCTTTCTGATTCAAGATGCCGCTCCCAAGGCTGCTGCAAGTAGAAAAAGTATATTTTCTTGACTTTTGCAGCAGGCAGCTCTGAGTTCCTAAGCACGGGGAATGAATTCAGCCAGGCCCTCCCGTCACCTGCTTAGGAGAAGAGGAGGCCGGAATTACGTACCAAATGTCGTTTTCCTCTAGGAAAAGGAAAGACGAGCTGTCTGCCTGCCTGCCTGCTTGGTAGACGCCATTTCTCTTGCCACACCCCATTTGCTCCTTTTGTCTACAGGGAGGACGTTCCCATTTCCCTTCAACTCAACTTCCTAGTCCTCAAAGCTTTTCTGAAGCGCCACGTATAATCTGCATGCAATAGCAGGCAAGCCTGCTCTGGGCAGATAGTCTAAATGCTTCCATTGGAGCAACACTTTTATCTCAAGCACCAGAACCAAACTACAAATGAAACCTTCACATCTATAAAGCCTTTGAATTTATCTAAAAGCGGCAGCCTGCTCTGGTGAACTGGAGAATTCTTACTTCTAGCCCGCAACCGCAACCCTAAAGCCACCCGTGGGAAGCAAGACGTTCCTAAGCTGAGAGGATTAAACTCCATGTGAAATTCAACAAAACTTGCTTACAAGCCAGCGAGCGCAAATGCTTGTTTGTTAAGAGGAGGGTCCCCCGGCATTATTCCTGACCGATGGCCCAAAAGGCAAACGCTGTTTTCTGCCATTCTGAGTGGCCCAATATTGGCTCAGAAGCCCCAGAGTTCAAGCCCTAAAATATACTGAATGGCAAAACGACCAAACACCCCGAATTTTAAGAACAACACCTGGAAGACTGGGACCTGCGGGCAGCAGTTGAGAAGGGTTGATGGAAGACTTCTGCAAACTCCCCAAATCCCTCTGCCGTTTGCGCTTTCCTGGGGACACTGGGCTGACTTTCAAGTGAACAGCTTCTCCCTGGGAAGGTCATCTCCTCACCCCAAAATTCAGTTGAAAGTCCTAACCTGTTGTGCAAAGAGAAGTTTGATCCAGGGATTTCCCAGGATCCCCCTGTAACAATCCAATTATTTCTCAGTTTAGTATTTCATCCATTCTTTCACAATTGGAAGGTTAATTTCAGCACTGCCCCAGACTGGCCAGCATGGAATCAGAATCACAGCCAGACCACACCAAGCAATTCTTAAGACCTTTATTTAAGAGATGCTTGCAGTTTGACGTGAAAAAATCAGGTGTATTCATACAAATTAAAAATGAGGTTCTTAAAAATCCCAACTTGACCAGATATATATGAAACAATTTAAAAACCTTTAAAGGTATATTGAGAAAAAACAGGCCTTTTAAAAAACATGTTTGTCACTCCCAAAAGGAGGAGACAGCTTTATAGGTAAAAATAATAGAAATCCCGTGCTGCATAGATAATGCAGAGAGTTCGAGGAGTTATCTGGTCAACAGCAAAAAGCAAGCACTTAAGGTCTTCCGTTCCAATTCTTCTTCCGTTCAGATTTCTTATTGCTGGAATTTCAGATTCTGTTTTATTTCAGACTCACTCTCTTCTTTGATGACTAAACTGGAAACAGAAAGAAAGCCACAAGTAATAGGACCTTGTCTCCCCCCTCCCGCCCCCCCCCCCGCCAGAATCCACCGTGGGTCCTGGCTCAAGGTTCCCACCACCAAAAGCAATTAAATCCATAGAGCTGGAAGGTTCAGATCACATCTTAAGCAGGCAGACAAAACAGGCAATTGCGCACTCCTGTTTTCTTCTCTTCAGGTGAGGCCTGAAGCTGCCTCCTCGAGGACTGGGCCAAAGAGCCACTTCCAAGTTCACCGCAGCAGAAAATTAACCGCGGGACTCGCAGGGGAAACGGGCTCCCCCAACAGGACGTAATGGGCTATGGATCCATAATGCAGGCGGTTCTAAGCAAGCGCCCTTATTTGGGGATGGGCACCTGTTGTCCAGACAAAGCCGATTCTGCTTCAACTGAAGGCAGCCCACTCTTCTTCCCATTGCTATGTCAGACTCCGGCTCTCCCCACCCACAGTGGTGGCATTCAAATAATTCAACAACCGGTTCTCTTCCCTAAAGATTTCTTCCAACAACCAGTTCACCCAACTGCTCAGAAAGTTAACAACCGGTTCTCCCAAAGTGGTGCGAATCCCACCACTGCCCCACCTCTCTCTCTGCCACTCACCCGGATGATGGTAGAGATGGTAAGCCGGCATTTACTCAGCCCCGCCCTGCTCGGCCTCGGGAGCGGACGTGTTCTCAGCTGATGGTTCGGCTGCCTTGGTCTCTTTGCCATCTTGTGGTTTAGGGTTCTCTGGGCGTCTGCGTCGGTAGTTGAAGTTGCGACGGTACCGACGCTGAGGTGGCTGCTGACCCTGGACCTCATCTGCTTGGTTCTCCTTGTCTTCTTCGTTGCCTTCCTCCCGGGGCTGTCGCTGGCGAGGAGGGCCCCTGAAAAACCCGGTCAGGCTTGAGGCATTTCACCTCGGCTTTTACAGCCGGGCCCCCACCAGATGCTGCAGGGCCGGAGGCACAGCCTGCAGGGACTCACCTGCGATAGCGCGGTCTGTAACCCCGATACAGGTTCTGTCTGACAGGCCTGCCTTGTTCCCCTGCACCCTGGTTGTCGGCGCCCTGCGGGATGGAGGAGGAACGTGCTGAAGCCGGCCCGTAAAAGCCAGCTCTCAGAATCCTAGCCTGGCCATCGTGCATTAAGTGAGGGCACCCATTACAAGTAAAAAAACCCACTGCTTTTAAAACAGCTTGTCCCGAGCCAGCTTGGAGGCCTCTTCCCAGCAGCCCCCACAGCTTCATCACAAGCACCGGCTGAGGCCATGAGACCCTCCTCCTGATTCCCACACAACTTTCCTTCCACAGGCGCCCTCCCCAACCTCCCTCAGCCCCTTGAAGCCATCAGCAAAAGGGGAAGCCACC